TATTAACTTTTAATATAATGGAGTTTAGGGTTTTGCAATTAGGGATTGTTTTGTTTCTGGTGTTTGGGAGATTAACTTATTCTCAATCTGATGTTTGTCCTGTTCTTTCAATTACCGATTCCATTATTGGGTTTCAAGATTTGTGTACGGATTCGATTTCTTTCTCAAGTGGGTATTTTGGTGATATAGAGGTATGTTAATTCCAATTGTGTTCATCCACTTCTTTTAAAGTTTTGATTTTTTTAGGTAATTTGGTTTTTGTTTTGGGTGTTTGATAAAGATCGATTTTTATTTATTGTTATTAGAAATGACCACTTTGGTTTGTTGAGTTTTATGTAAGTTGCATTTCTTGGTTATTTGGCATTGGTCATGATGAAAGAGTGTTTTTTGTTGTTCATTCTGTAAATTAAGGTTGGGGTCTGTTTGTAAATTAAGGCTCATTTCTCTATAACATGGAAACATTAGTTGAGGAAAAAAAAAAAGGGCCCTATGAAGAAGAAATCTCATTGTAGCAAGTGCCGGATGACACTTCACACACTATGTTCTGTGGATTTCATGATTTAAAAGGAATCTCTGAGGGCTTAAGAAGAAAATCAAGTTATTGCTTTTTGACTTATGAACAATTGTCACTTTCTGTATATATTGATTTATTTGCATAGCAGGGTATTGTTTAATGATAGTGATTGGCATAATCGGTTACATTCATATTCATGAAGATGCAGTCGCACATTTTGTTTTTCAATAGTCAAATAGCTTCGTGGAAATAGTTGGTGTTGTTCTGGGCGGGGGAAAAAGATTATTGAGTCTTGCTAGAAACTTTGTGAGTTTTTGCTTCTGAGCAAGATTATAGTAGATAATTTGGAGAATAAAATATAAAAAAAATTCTATGACAATGTCAAAGTTGGCCATGAGCATCAGTCTTAGGTGTGCTTGCTCCAGGTAGGCTGACTACCAGAACTAGGGCATAGAATTATGATGCATTTTAGGCAGCGCGGCTTTTGACTGCATAGGATGAAACAGTAATCCAGTTTATTTTTGAGGAGGAACATGTATTGCTAGGAAAAGCTGAGACGAAATGTTGTTGACGGAAGACTATCCTATCTCTCCAATAGTCCAATATAATAATTTCACCACCTAGATTTCTCAATTCTCTTTCACTTTGTTTTTCTGCATTTTATATGTGTTTCGTTATGGGCAGGTTTATGACATTTGTAATAATGAACACCAGAGGCACAAACAAATGTGATATGTATACAAATATCGTGGGGGTTTCACAATATTAATGTAGATGATCTTCATCTTTTCTCGTTGTTATTCTGAGCTATATGTGTGTACAACCTTCGCTGTCACAATTTTGGCCACATGTTGAATGCATGAAATTTTTATTTACTGAGGTCTAGTGTTATCTTCTGTTATTTTGTTGAACTCTGATCGTATTCTTTATTTTGTTTTTGTGAAGGGAGATGATGCTTCATTGCAGAAGGCGCTGAATCTGAATCAGAAGAATAGTAATGAATATGTGTCTGTGCTTTTCTATGCCTCTTGGTGTCCATTCTCGAGAACATGCAGACCTACATTTGCCATGCTGTCTTTATTGTATCCATCCATTCGACATTTTGCAGTTGAAGAGTCTGTTGTCAAACCAAGGTTTGTGAAATTATTTAGTCCTTGAAATTGCATAAATGTTCTTTTTTCTGCATGGTGGATAACATTCATTAAATTGTTCAGCATACTTTCAAGATATGGCATCCATGGATTCCCGACCCTTTTCCTTCTGAATTCTAATTCTACTATGCGGGTGCGTTATCATGGATCCCGGACCCTCAGTTCTCTTGTCTCTTTTTACAATGATGTCACTGGTAAGGTCTTTTTCTTGACAGGAATTTAGAGTTTGTTTGATGAGTCCATTTTTTTGTTTGTGAAATCCAAGAACTTGTGAAAGGGTCACTCCCTTTTACGAGAAAGGGAATTTAGACCGCTGTTAGTTGTCCAATTAGGTCAGGTTTAGGCTCAACAAGAGCCACCTAGGGTGAATCCTGGTGTTATGGGGTTGAAGGTAACGTACGGTTAGCTGCTGGCTGATCTTTCATTTGGTTATTATCATTATGTAATTTCTAATTATATCAATGAATATATTACTTTTATGTGTCAAAGGAAAGTTGTAAAAGTGCAATTAGTTATGGAAATTGAAGGAGTGTACTTGCTGAGGAACACATTATAATATAGCTCACATCTATTTTTGGGAAGTCAATTTATGGTTGATGGAAGATGATTGAAGTTCAACTAGCTTTGTATAGATAAAAACAAATAGAAATGGTGAATAATAAATGAGAAGTATGTCACTATGTCTACACAACCCCTGTTCTTCATACAGGTTCAGCCTCATAACCCCTTGAGGTTCAGCCATGCATCTCTGGAGGCAAGCCATCTTGTTCATGTACTGCGCCCAAGGGGAAGAGGAAAATCAAGACTAGGATATAATTTATCCCTAGATCAGACTAGTCGTTGTGTTGATATGTTTTAACCCTCTCTTTAGACCTCATTAACCTTCTTTTTTGTATAATCTTTTTTCGTGTTTTTCTACTTTATTAATTAAGATTTGAGAGTATCTGATTGTTTGCTATGCAGGACTTAAGCCATTATTACGAGATCAATCATCCTTGGAGAAAATGGAGAACCCATTGAATGTATCGAAGTATGGGGACACTGAGGAGAACTGTCCATTCTCATGGGCAAGATCTCCTGAGAATATGCTTCGGCAGGAGACATATTTGGCACTTGCTACCGCTTTTGTGGTTCTGAGGTTGATGTACTTCCTTCTTCCAGTGCTAATTGCTTCTGCCCGTTGTGTATGGAGAAAGCATATTTGGAACGCAAGCTTGATGAGCTTGTGGGAGCATCCTCTAGCACACATTCGTCGAGCAATGCAGGTGTTCAATGCAGTGAAGGAGCGTTGCAAGAGGAGTAATTTGCAGGAAGGTGCAATGAATGCCAGGGCATGGGCTTCCAAGTCTTTGGCGTCAGTATCTATTGGAGATGCAAGCTCAAGTAGGGACTGTGTGGATAGTTAACAAGAGCCCTACCCTACCAACTCCCCTGCCTCCTCTGGCAGCAACATGGGAATGATCCAGACACCTACAATCAGGTTATGTCAATAGTAATATGGGATGTTGGTAGGGTTGTTTGGTATAAGTCCAGAGGTTGGTTGTTTGTGCCATTTCATCTTTTGTGATCCGAGCCGGTGGTATTTGTATTTGGATGCACAAGTGATTTGTATCCTGATATTGCTGTTTATAAATACAATTTTATTCGTGAATGTCTTAATAGAGAAATGTTTTTTTCCCTGTAGTAGATGAGGTAGTGACTTTTTTAGTTTTTATGTGGGAAGTGTAATGTTAGTGCAATGAAGGTGATGTACTCCATTGCAAAATCTTTCTGTATATGTTCATTACAGTTTCTTGTAGAAGGTGCCTAGCATTACTCTATAACATCTGAATTTGCCTTTGTATCTTGTTTGATGAAAATACATTTAGTAAAACTTTTGCATTTGATGAGCTCAGTTCTACCTTGGAGAATGTTGGTTGAAGTGTTTTGGAGAAGAATACATGTTTCACTGTTGACTGGCCTTGCCTGGCCTCTCTCAAGACACACTAGCTACTAGCTAGGGTTGGATTGGCACAAAACTCTTTTCCTGTGGAATATATTCAAGGGGACCCACAGTTTTGCCATTGAAAAGCAAAAGCTATACCACCAGTCCACCATGCACCATCCATTGATAAGTATTAAACCTTCACTGGTCACTACTCTTTCTTCCTCAAATACCAAAACTTAGTTGTTAAGATTTCAACACCAAGCCATGAACCAACACTTTCCCTTTCCAATCTTCTTCACTCTTCAACTCTTTCTCCTATTCTCTCACCACCACCTGCTTATTATAGCATCTGATCAGCAACCTTCTTCTTCTTCTTGCCAAAACAAGTGTGGTTCTCTTGAGGTTAATTATCCTTTAGGAACTGGATACGGATGCGGGTCACCCCGGTTCTACCCCTATGTATCTTGTGCACCAGGTGGAGACCAGCTTCTTCTCACTACTCACACTGGTTCTTACCCAATCACCTCCATATCCTACACCACCTCCACCATAACCATCACACCACCTCAAATGTCCACCTGTAACTCCATGCAATCATCTTCCAATTTTGGGCTTGATTGGACAAGCCCATTTCAATTAGGCCCATCAGTCTTCATTCTCTTAGCTTGTCCACCTCCTACTTCTTCCTTATCCATTAAAGGCACCCCAATATGCGACACAGCCAACACTCATCTATGCGCTTCGATTCACACATGTCCAGCTGTGGCGTCACTTGGTTTGTCTCTATTTGCACCCACAAGCACTTGTTGTGTATACTCACCAGCCAATCTTAATGCCAAAGGGGATTTGGATCTTCAAAAACTAAAATGTGCTGCGTACGTGTCTGTTGTCTCATTGGGTGACATACCAACAGACCCTAACAGGTGGGTGTATGGGATAAACTTGAAATATAATCAGGTTGGTTTAGATAATGACAATTTTGCCAGTCATTGCAAAGCTTGTGAGAAAAGTAATGGGATTTGTGGGTATACCCCTCCAAGGAATAATTTTGTATGTGTATGTAAAGGGGGTGTGAATAGTACTACTGATTGTAACAATATGATGCCTGCCCCATTTTGGAGCTCGAAATCATCATTTAGGATAATGGGAGGCTCATTTCACCTCTATAGTTGTTTAGTTGTTGTTTACTTGATGGTTGTTTAGTTTGATTAGGTTGAAGTGTTCAATGTTCACTGTTGAAGAACAGTTTGATCAAAGTGTACATGTTAATGTTTAATGGAGTTCTGATGAGTTCTCTACTCTACGTACTGTTTTCTTTCTTTTT